ATTCCTAGACAATGCATAATATAAAAAAAAAAGGAAGAAAATTTATGGTTAGGAAAGAAGACAACAGTCATTAATCCTAGATGATATGATTATCTACATAAAAAGCCTAAGAGAATCTATTTAAAAAGATGTGAGAATTAATAATAGTTTAGCAAGGTTCTTGGATATAAGATTAACATACAAAAAACAGTTGCATTTTTAAACACTAGCAACACAAAGTTATTAAATTAAAATTTTAAAAAGAAACAATTTATAATAGCAAAGGAAGTATAAGTTACCTAGGAGTAAAATAACAAAAGTTATATATGATCTTTTGAAAGTAATTACGTAATTTTGATGAAAGTCATTAGGAAGACCTTAATAAAAGCAGAGATACCATATTCATGGATAAGAAGACTCAGTATCTTAAAGATATTAATTCTCCCCAAATTAATCTATAAATTTGAATCAGAATCCTGACATGATTTTTCTCATAAAATTTGACGAACTGATTCTAAAATTTGTATGGAAGCATAAAGAACAAAAATAATCAAGACACTTTTGTAGAAAAACTAGATGGGAAACATACCCAATCACATAGTATGAATTATTATACATTTATAGTAATTAGGATAGTGTGGCAGACAAATAGCCTAAAATTTGTATGGAAGCATAAAGAACAAAAATAATCAAGACACTTTTGTAGAAAAACTAGGTGGGAAACATACCCAATCACATAGTATGAATTATTATACATTTATAGTAATTAGGATAGTGTGGCAGACAAATAGCCTATTGGAACTTCTAGAAGAAGCCTGGAAACAAATTCATGCATATGTGGAAACTTGGGAGCAGGTATTGCAGATCAATGGGCGAAAGACTGACTATTAAAAAATGATGCTGACTTAACTGGTTATATATATATACATATAGATAAAACAGGAATACCAACCTGACACTACGTACAAAAATCACTTCTAGTTTTTAAAGACCTGAATGTGGAAAGCAAAACTGTAAAACTTAGAAAAATTGCTGGAGTGTGCTTTTAAGATGCTGGGATAGAAAGGATAGTTTAAAGAGACTCCAAAAAGCACAAATTGCTAAAGAAAATATAACTTTTCTTTCTGAAAAGAAATTATTTAAAAAGTGAAAAGACAGCTATAGACTGGAAGATATTTACGACAAACATTTAGCTGGTAATAAGTATCTTATAAAAGATTCCTATAAGTTAGTTAAGACTCCTGTAAGACAAAGACAATCCTTTAGAAGAATGGAGGCAAATGACAGGCAATTAACAGACAAGGAAGTCAGTGGTCAAAAGACACATGAAAAGCTGTCTAGCTTCCTACTGTTTTTGCTCACCAGTCGTACTGGCCGTAGGTTAAAAGTGACAATTACAAATATTGACAAATTTGTGGACTATATGAACTTCTATACTGCTGTATGGAATTTAAATTGAAATAAGCACTTTGGAAAGCAATTTAGTAGAGTTTGAGTACTCTTTGACCTAGGAATTTCACTGTGGATGTATATCATAGACAAACTCTTGTACATACTCATATATACAAGAAAACAAGTTTAAGGATGGTCAGAGCAACATGTTAATAATGCAAAAAAAAAAAATTATGAACTGTGATCTAAATGTCCATCAGGGAAAATGGATAAATCAATACAGTTGTACATAGAGTATATATAGACATAAAACAGAACGACATACAAACAGTGAAAATTAATAAACTAGAGCTGTGAATATCAACATAGAAGAATTTTTAAGAGCATTCATTGCAAGGAGCAAGTTGCAGAAGGATATATTTTATGTAACATCATCTATATATGTCTAAAACAATACTATCTATATATATTTGGGGGGCTACATGCATATGAAGTAAAAGTATAACCAAATGCATGGAAACTATGAAGCAAATGAGAAAAACATTTACTGGGCCAGGACGTGGATATGTTTGGAAAGGAGACCCAGGGACTTTCATGCCTTTTTTCTTAAACTGGGCAATGGATATCCTGGTGTGTTCTCTTGTTCTTTTACGTTTTCATGTCTGAAATGGTTAGTAAAGTTTTTCATTTCAAAAATATAACAGCGCAGCTCACAAATTTTAAACAAAGTGAAGTTAAATAAAATGAGCGCAGTGAGTGTAATTAATTACTGCAGAAAATATCTAAAAACACATGTTCCTCATGTTGCAGAGTGAGCAATTGTGGTGCAGCCCAGGGAGAGCAGGTGTCTCGACAGAATTGGAATTAGTGGATCTAAATTATGTAATTCTTGTTTTAAGACAGCTCAGGAACATGATCTTGTAATTAAACCTAAACCTATGTGTGTTTTTAGTGATCACCACATGGTGGCAGGCTATTCAAGAAAATTCAAGGACAATGCTTTGCACTTCAGAGCCCAGAATTTTTGATTTGGAAGCTTAGGGAAGAGGGAAATAAACCTTGCCCTGCACTGAACAGCTATGGTGAAAATAGAAAATACCTTCATGGGCAATTGAATGTTTTCACAGCTGTCAAAGACACTTGCTAGTTGTAGCTATATTTTTGAAAAACAAAGACATTTTTCAAAATACTTTTTTATTAGGGAAATAAATCACCTTGACTCTGTACTTTGGGATGAATCTCACCTTAACTTCCAGAACGATTAAGTTGCTGGACTTTCTAGAGAATCTAGAAATTGGGTAACGTTCCCGTTTTCATATATACGAGAAGGTTCCCTTTAATAGTTGATATTGCACACACATTTTTTCCTTATGTCCTCAGTACTTATAGCAGCACCACCTTGAATCTTAGAAGCTGTCACCTTTTGCTATTATTATTGCTTAACCTTTGTAGCCAAAAAAATGGAAAGAAAGGTTCAGGGCTCCCCTGTGTCTTGAAGTGTTCTTGGTCTCTGGTCTTTGGATCCTCTACCTGGCCTACCTGCATACAACAGGATCCCATCCCACCTCAAACGACAGCATGTGTCTTAGCAGTTGTCACACTAGCAGGTAGCATTTCACCAGTCACATACCTCCCCCTGACATGCCTCCTTGCTTCTGCCTGATGATTGAACTGTCTCTATCCCTGTGCTTTATTTCTACAAGAAGAAATTGGGGAAAGAAAACCCTTGCCATTTGTTTCCTTAGCAGGAATTCTAGCCCTCTTCGGAGCCATGGTAATGTGTGGACTGTCCACTCAAAGGGCCAACTGGCCCTCTGGAGGGCACAGTGGTACAAGAGCACCCAGGCACAGGTTAGTGTCCTGGGACAGGCTCCATCTACACTTGCCATACCCTTTGAAAAGCTTCACTGTGAAAAACACTAGAAGTATGAATGTAACAGCAGGTTGGGATTTTTGTTGTCCAGTTTAATTAACAGTGCATAAAAGTATATTTTAAGATTATAGTCTTGTTATTGACAATGGTAAAAGAGTCAGGGAAAGAGGAGATTGAGCTAAGGATTATGGCTGTTCTGTTGAAAGACACAGCATTTCTTTTGTGCTTATTTGTACCTGACATGGAACAAGACCCCTGTTGGGCATCTGGTTGAAGATTTCTGAAGCTCAGTGTGAGGGATTTGAGCATCAGGGTGTGACTATGTAACTTTAGAGTCCTATCTACCACCTTCTAAAATACAGGTAGCCTTACAGGTGTAGGGTGACCTTCAAGTTGTCAGGCAGCCTGCTGCAGGTAGTAGGAACTGCCTTCTAAGGTTTGGAGTCAGGACAACATTTGTGACTTCATTAAGCAGTAGAGCATAGGCTTTGGGACAGACAGCTCTGGCTTCAAGTTTTAGCTGCTGTTTAATAGCCCTAAGCCTGCTTCCTCATGTGTAGAACAGGTGTAACACTCCCTGCCTCATAGGGCTGTTGTGAGAATGGGATTAAATGATTATGTGGGTCAATCAAATCGTAAGTAGATAAACTAGTAGTGTGACCTGGTGTCCCTGACTGGAAGCCTGGTATAACATGTCTCCAATGTATGGATGGAAGGAAGGAGAGAGTGACTGTGTATCTGTGAGGTCTCCTGACAGTATGTTGGCTGAGGAGCTAAACCAAAAACAAAACTAAGAGACCATGTCCCAGAGAGAGGAGGGACTGGCCAGAGTGGGTGCACAGCTTTGACCAGGCCAGGCTCACCCTCTGGACCTGAACAGGAGTATTTTCAATGTAAAGTAATGTAACAGAGACTCTTTCTTCCAAAGCGATGGACCTCTTCCTTCCCGTGATTCTTATGTCAGTCAGAAGCTACTTCAAAATATGTCTGCAGGGTATTCCTGATTGAACAATTATTACTACCAGGCCCTATAATTTTGCAGAACATTGAGTTAGTTAAGTATAAATAGATCCTTTCTCTATCAGCCTATCTAAGTCTAAGGATATTCTGTGTATACTGATTATGCATAAAATCTCCATGGAGCCTGAGCATGAAAAATTGAGATTTGCCTTCTGAGAGTTTCACAGAAAACAGAATAGACGTCTTTGCTGGGTAGCTTTATAGCTTATGCCTGTTGGAGTGTATCACTGAAAATTAAGAATAAGTGTCCTGCTTTGTTTCTGTGCATCACTTTCAGGCTTTGAGAGATGCATTATGCATTTTCATGCATATCCTAGAGTGGGGGAGGAGAAGAATGTCTGGGCATTTGTCCAGATTAGCCATATGCTGTGGAGCATCAGATGTCACTAAGCCACAGCTCTGGAGCTCATGTTTTTGGGTAGGGCTAAGGGATCCCCCTCCTTCCTCCAGCTTCTTCCACCCAAATGCAGGCCCCCACACTCAGCTTGCCAGACCTTTGCAGTGGAATGACGGTTGGTTCCACCATTTGGGAATTAGCCAAGATTTGAAGATACCTTCTTCCTCACCCCGGTGATTTCACCATGATGCCAAAACCAATCTGAAGTGAGAATTGGTATCTACGAGATGGAGTCGTGCCCCTCTCGATGGAAGAGAGAGGTTGGCAGACAGCACAGGGCCCTGCTCCCTTGCGAGTCTCCTCTGAACCTGTGGTTAGGGCACAGCTGGAGGATGATGAACAGCTGGGCCAAATCAGGTAAACCCCATCTGCGTGCAGAAGAAATAGCCTAGAAATAAGAGAACCTTTTTATTTTGTTTTTCTCAGAGGATCTCGTTTCTGCTCCTCCTTCTCCTCCTCCTGAGCACAGAAACCCTCAAAACTCATACTCAACAGAAGAAGGAAGAAAAAATAGTTCTTTCACATTTGAAGGTTCAAAGTGTCTGGGTTTTTTTTTTTTAAGATGACCTGTAAGAGGATCTTAACCCTTGACTTGGTGTTGTCAGCACCACACTCTCCCGAGTGAGCTAACCGGCCATCCCTATATAGGGATCCGAACTTGTGGCCCCAGTGTTATCAGCACCACACTCTCCCAAGTGAGCCACGGGCCAGCCCCAAAGTGGTTTTTTTGAGCGAAGCTAAACTATCACAAAATCGTTTTTAGTTTAAATTCAGCACATAGCATGGCTTTTAAAGGTGAATTAGGAAAACTCTAAATGTATTTATATTATCTGTGAAATGATGACTTCTTAAAAAAAAAAAGGGTAATCTCTTTCAAAGGGGGAAGAAAACTAAAATTCTGGCTTTTAAACTGGGCCGGGTGAGTTACGTGACAATTCTTTTTAATAGAAGAGGCTACGCTGAAAACAGTAATGTTTGTAATGACAGTAACATTAATTGACTGAGTGGTTACTCTGAGCCAGGCTCTGTCTTACTGAAAACTCATGTTGTCTTACTGATTCAGCACACTTACACTATTAGGCAGGAGCATAATTCTCCCTGTATTACAGATGAGGAAACTGAGGCCCAGAGAAGAGGTTTTCCAAAGATCATATAATTAAATACTCATAGAGGTGGCACTCCAGCCTGTGTTTTTAACCACTGTCCCATGTCAGCTCTTACTCCAGATAATTCCACAAAGTCTAATCACTAGTCTTTAAAACCAAAAAGCACCTACCAACTCAGATGTGGAACATCAGAAAGACCAAGGCCCAAGACATTAGACTTGTGTTGAGTTCACTATTGTTTTATTCCAACTGTTTATAATCCCAGAGACATATGTATTTAAGAGAAGCAAGCTGAAGCGAACTGAATGCTGTCCCCTCCTTGAGACCCTGGGCTTGTCACCAGCTGTTCAGGATCACTCTCAGAAGGGAGGCAGTGCACCTTTTTGAGAGGGCAGGGGTGGGCCACGCTGGTAGATGTGTGGACACAGGACAGCCTGATGCACCTTTTTGAGAGGGCAGGGGTGGGCCACGCTGGTAGATGTGTGGACACAGGACAGCCTCATCAACGTGAGCTCCTTTCTTTTCCCACCTTCTATGTGTGAGATGGAGAAAATAGCCCCAGATGCTCCTGGGCACCTCAGTCCTGTGCTAAGCAGATACCCAGGTTACTCGATAGGGATAACGTAGGCCCCTGAGCTTTCCTTGACCGACGTTTGGGTATTTGTTTCAGTGTTGCATCCTATTCTTTTCATTCTTGCTTCTGCCTGATAATTGCATTACTTAACTAACACCAGAGAAGGAGGTAAACAGAACTTTTTAAATTCCAGGAAAATCAGTCCATTATATTTAGCAGTGTTGAGAAAAGGATTTGTGAGAGAACGGACTAAATCTAATGGGCAGAGATCAAGAGGGAGCCATGTAAATTAACAGACTTATGTTATTAGTCTTAGATGGTTCAAGATTTAAGCTGAGAAATGGAAATTTAGGAGAAACAATGTTCTTATATCAAGTATATGAGTAAAAATGTAATTAAAGCACCATCTGTCTCTACCTTTTCCTACATTCTCCCCTTTTTGGATGCCCTTCCTATATCTTATAGGCAAAATATTCTAATTTCAGTCTCACTGGAATATGCTCCAGATGTTTAAAAGTTGGTTTGAGCATGGAATGTATTTTCACATAGACATAACATTATAAATGGTGTTAGGTTCGTGGGGTTGTGAAGCCAGTTTAACAAATAACACAATGGAATCACATTGATGTAGTTTCCTACTTTTCTATGGGAAACTTTGTCTGGAACTTTAACACTCTTCTAAACTGTGGTGTTAAGTTCAGTCTTCGTGGAGTCACCTGTGGCCAATGACAGTAGTCCTCAGGGGCCAGATGGGGAAAGGAGGTGCACAAGTATTGCACAAAAGAGAGCCATCACCACTGCAGGAAGAAGGGCTCTAGGCGTGTGTCCTGCAGAGAACAGGCTGGCAACGTCACCTTTCATATAATCTGTCAGCTTTCCTGCACCATCAGCAGAGCCTGGCTCCCTTTTTTACCCCTTCCTGTCCAATGTGAATGTTTTTTAAGGACATAGAATCTTCATGGGAAGGTCTTCAACATGATCCACCACAATAAACCACCTTATATGTGGGTGGAGAGTTAGTTTCAAGGCTTTTTTGTATATGATATCTCATGTGTGTTACAACTCTAAAAACCCTAAAGGTATTATGCTCACTGAGAGCGTTGGCCTTGATTGTTGTTGCTGTTGAGGACCAGAGTCTGGGCATGAACCCAGATCATGTGACTCTACCTGTAGTGGCCTTCTCACTGCACCCGAATTCCTCACTTTCCTGAAAAGGCATTTAAAGCCTGGAGAGTTTCTCAAAGGAAGTGGAATGCAGCCATCTGTTGATATGCTGCAGGAGGTTCAGAATTGGAAGCATAAATGTCAGGAAATACAAAGCCGAATTTCCCACAGCGATATCAGTTTGCATGAACATGAACACACTGTATGTATTAGAGTATGTGGCTAATGACATAAATGTAAATCCTGGGGGCTGTCTGGCCTCTATGGAGCGTGGCTCACTTAGTGCTGCCCTGGGAACCATAACCTGAACATTTCCTCATTTTGTGCTCCATGGTTCTAAGTCTTTGTCACATGAAGGAGATCTCCCTCACCACATACACACACACGCTCTCTCCTCTCTTCTCTCTCTCTCTCTCTCTGTCCTATTTTTTAAATATTTTTTTCCTAGAGTTTGAAGGGAATTATATTTGATGAAACATTCAAAGTACATCCATTACTGTACTTGATGTTGCATTTTCCTTTTATCATCTGTCATGACTTTTGTAAGTATCAAGCTCATTTCAAGAGAAATTAGCTATCTTTTCCAGCATTTTGGACACAACCAAATACCTTTGATTTTCTCTTTTCATACACTGAGCAGTAAATAAGTTGAATGATGAAGTAAGCGGAACTTAGGAACATTTTTAAAAAGGAAGGTCATTTATTACCCTTTGGGGGAAAAATTTGGTAGATAAGTATCATCTGTCATGACTTTTGTAAGTATCAAGCTCATTTCAAGAGAAATTAGCTATCTTTTCTAGCATTTTGGACACAACCAAATACCTTTGATTTTCTCTTTTCATACACTGAGCAGTAAATAAGCTGAATGATGAAGTAAGCGGAACTTAGGAACATTTTTAAAAAGGAAGGTCATTTATTACCCTTTGGGGGAAAAATTTGGTAGATAAATACTGTAATCATAATTCCCAGTTGTCCATTTGGCTTGTAGTTATTCTGATTTATGTAATAACCATGAGAAAGGTCTTATAAGTTTTAAAGGCTGTAATCTGTTCTACTGATCACAGATGAGAGTGAAGAAAAAAAAATGCACCCAATTCCTGAAATGAAAAAAATTCTCTCAGGATGAGATCACTGGGTGGGCATGAAGTGGGGGAAATATCTTTTTTGTAGTTGTCATCTTTTTATCTTGCCAAAGTATACATCATCCAAATGAAAATAGTTTGACATTTTTATTTTAGAGTAGCTACATGGTTATTTTAACATTCCTATTTGATAGTATGCTTGTATTTCAGGAAAATGTGGATATTGATTCATAACTACAAAGCAATAATCTTATGGTTAATTTCAAATAAAAAGATAGATATTTAAGTTAGAAAAATTTACAAGTAAACAGGGACTCTGCTGGTGAAAAATTCTGCCTGAATGAAATCCATGTATGTAGGAAACACACTCTTTACTCAAATGGCAAGAACATACCAGGCATGGTTGCTAACGCCCAATTCTATAGTAAAGTCATTGATGAATTCCTGATTGCCAAAAATGTATTTTTTGCTTTTATCTTGCTTGACCACTGAGTGTCATTTAAACCTGTTGACCACACCTGTGTGAAAATGCCCCTTCCTGCCCTCCCTAACTCCAAGGCCACACCATGGTCTCTATTTTCTTGGCTCCTTTTCTCTTACCTTTGAAGATTAGAGCTCCCCAAGGATGTACTTCAACCCGTTTTCCTTCCCTTTCTGTTTCCCTTGGGGAATCGTATGCAAGCTTCTGATTATGACTGCCATCTATACGTTGGTGAATTTCAGCCTGTATTTCCATACCCCTAGACCATTCTCAGTTCCAGACCTGTGCACCAGCTTCTTGCGAGAATCTCTTAGATGTCTCCATGTTGTGAATTTCCTCCCAACCCTCTGACCCCTTCTCAGTCCAGCTTCCAGAAGAATCTTCCTCAGGCACATCTGATTTCATGAGGGCAACCACACAGCACAGCCAAATCTTGACAGCTACTTGTCTGTTGTCATATTAACCAATTCGGAAATTTTGACATTTTATAAAAGAAAAGTGACATTTTCTAAAAAAGAAAAACACTGAACTCTTTCTAGGACTTTGCCATGTGATAGTCAAGGCCATGCTACATAAGATTCCCATGGACACTACCTGTCTCATTAGAAAATGTGAAGAATCTGCTGTGAGACACAGTGCAATCCATAAAACACTGATCTAGGCTCACATAAACCAGTGTGTCCCCATTTGTCAAAAGCAAAAGATCAAGTGAGGGGCCACCTCCATGTGGTAGAATCACTCTCTTCCCTCAAGACCCATTCTCTACTGCGTATGACAAATGACCGTCCAACACACAGGGGCCAATCATCAATGACAGTGTCTGTGCAGATGTTTAATTGTAGTCAAACTTCCTTTGCAAGTTGTGTGAGGAAATGAGTGGAAATCGAGTGTTTACTATTTTTTCATGTCAGTGGTTTGCCTTGTGCCTGCCTATCTTGAAGATCCCAGCAGACAGTCTTGCAGGCAGGGACTGGATTTTTATATTTGGATCCTCAGCTAGCTCAGTGTGTGCCCTGAGTGGCACTGGAGAGATGCCAGGTGACATAAGTATTTTCACTATAATTTCTTTTAGTGTCTTTTGTTATTGTAATTTTAAAAGCACATCTTTGCTGGAGAAAGCACTTATTGTTAACATTTTAAAGTAACATCCTTCATTTTGAACTTTGTTTTCTGAACTGTGTGGATAGCATTTGAAGGATATAGAAACAGGTTTCAGAGGGCCCAGGTAATAGAAAACCACAATTATTTTTTTTTAAAAAAAGCTTTCAACCTTTTTTCTAACCCATTCTAGTTTTTGATGTATATACAAATCTCATACCTGAGATTCTCATACAAGTACGTGCTCTTTTCAAAATATTGATAGGAGAAGATAAATTTTATCTTCTAGCCAGGGGGGTGGGGCTGTACATTATGCAGTTAAAATCTTTTAATGCATTTTATTTGCTAGATACAAAATTATTATATTCAACATAACTTTCCAAATCACATCTGTCTTCCCTTTTCCCCTCTCTCTTCATATTCTGGACACTTGCCCCCCACCCCCTGCTTAAAAATCACTGACTTAGAGAAGCATAGTTTTCATGTTATCTAAACTCTACAGCACCCCCACAGGCTGCACATTAAATGTCTGCAGATCTGTGTCTTAAATTGTTTTACACTTGGTCCTCTGCCTGGGGAGTGGGTGGTTCCTTTTAACTGCCCTGCTCAAGTCTCCGCAGAGAAAGCAATATTTTGTTATGAGGTAGAGTTTCAAGCTAAGCTTTGGCCAGGGTCTTTCCCATTTGGGAGGAGGAAAGTAGGAGCAGCCAGTGAAATGATAATTCTCCTTGAATTTTAGCTCATTAAATTCTTCCCTCGTCCTCAGTGGGTTATTTATTGATTTAAGCATCTAGCACTTTTCCTTTCCAGAAAGAATTAGCATCTACGATGTGACCATTGCTAAAGGAGGAGATTTCTGTCTTTTCTCTGTGGGATTCACTGTCCCCCGGTTGCTTATTAGCACAGCCCGCTTTGGAGTTGTGTGTAGGTAGAGTTGAGGGGTCAGAATGAGACCAAGATTTATAGGTAATGAAAAGAACAGGTTGTATCAAAGGCACCATGTGAAGGAAACTAAGTGTTCTTAGGGGACTGGTGTGATCCTTGGCTTTTCCAAAATGAACATTTCAGTCTTGTTCATATTAACTTCCTTTTTATAGCTGTTCTCACATGTTCTGTTTTTGCTGCTATTGTGCATGGAAATCTAGCAAAATGGCGTTTCTTATCTGCTGATCTGCAACCATCCTTAAACATTTGTACTTCTTTTGAGGATTACTGTAGCTGAATTTATGACAATGGTGGATATAAATGAAGAAATACACTTTTTTATACAGATGTTTAAAATCCCCTTCCCATCAGGACACTTTTTTCCCCTAAACATAACATCACCCAAAAGTCCAGTTGCTTTCAGATCTGTCTGCAGAAATCATATGCAGCTTTAATGGACTAGATTGCTGGTGATATGGGTTACAGACCTCTTCATACAGTTTAGCAGTGTTAAGGCCCTGTGGCACAGAAAAATAATGGTTATTTAGGCAAATATTTTAGTAGGGATTTTTCTTTTCCTTTTATTGGGATCAATGCAGTGGATTTGGTGCAGCACATTTCACTGTGCCCTTTTGCTTCTTGCGCTGTAATAAAGTAAGATACTGAAAAGCAGTGAATACTGTTTGGCTCGTTAATGGGTACTCAGTGAATGTTAATGTGCTTTTTCCTGTTCCCAGGATCAAATCGATCACATATTTCTGGGTGTTAACTTTTAGAAGTTGGCTTTGTTGGCTCTATGAAAAGGCACACATTTAAACTGTTATCGTGCTCCTCCTCTGTTAGGAGAACTTGGGGCTGTCCTTGATCTTGGCTTTTCTGTTCATAAACCAGGTAGGACTGTCATGGATTCACTTCCCCTCATTACCATCTCTTGTCCAAGATTCCTAAAAGGTGTCAGCTGATACGTCCTCTCGCCCAAACGGCATTAACAATTCTCAGGCTGACAAGACGGTGTTAACAATTCTCAGGCTGACAAGCTCACCAGGTTATTTCTCAAGATCTTTCTTCGGTGATCAGCCTGTCCAAGCTGAGAACGGGTGAAGGGTCCAGCATATTTGTTTGCTGGTTGGTTGGGTGGTTTGGGGTGTTTTTGGGTTTTGTTTTCTGCTCTTCTGTCTGTCTGATCCTAGAGACTCTGTGGTCAGACAGGCAGTGAAGTCTGTGGAATAAACAGCGGGAAGGACCATTAGCCTTGGAGAGTAAGGACAGGCAGCTTCCCTCTCTACCTCATAGAGCATCTGTGAGACTGGGTACCTAGAAAAAGGACATACCAGAGAGTTACTAAAACTCCAGGTCAGACAGGCAGTGAAGTCTGTGGAATAAACAGCGGGAAGGACCATTAGCCTTGGAGAGTGAAGGACAGGCAGCTTCCCTCTCTACCTCATAGAGCATCTGTGAGACTGGGTACCTAGAAAAAGGACATACCAGAGAGTTACTAAAACTCCGAGCTTCGGTTTCCTTCTTAAACAAACATAGTGACACCAATCTCGCGTATTCAGCCTATTCGTTGAGACAGTACTTACAGCACCTCGCTGACCTGCGCTGTTGGAGCTACTTTTCCCCTGCAGGTCTAATAATCTTTGTTTGCCTCTCCCTCCACATATGGGTCCAGTTTGAAATCGTCAGTTGCTTAGTGGTACCTGGACAGGTTGGCCAAGGTCAGAGCCAACCTCTTACCCTACTTCTAGATGTAACTTTCCCACCAGATATATTCCTCCAGCACTGTACGATCAAAATATAAACAGAACAGACATGATGAATGTGTTATGTAGTAGTGTTTGCGTTTTTTCCTCTTTCTCAGGGCGGGGGTGGGTGGGTAATGAGGAGTTAGCCCTAACCAGGGCCTTGAGGAAAATGAGATTCTTTCTCAAGCTCCTGAAAATATTTCCACGGATGTTGTAGTAAAAGCTCCATATGGGTCCGATTTTGATGGTGGTGTTGCACCGGCTGACAGGCCTGCTGTGCTGGCCAGACTGTCATGTGGCTTTCCCCACAACACCTGTTTTCCTCCTAAGCCACATGATCAAACAGGACGCTGCCCACCCCTGGCTCTTTACTCAGTTCCCCCCGCTTCCCCCAACACTGTAGTTTTCTTTGCTCCATCCTTTCTCTTGATATTGCAGATAGTGGTGAAAACATGTGAATGGTAACACTCCACACGGTATACATGTCAAAGTGATTACCCTGAAGACATTTTTAAAGTCTCCTTTCTAGGATATGATAATCATGTTCTGTTTGTACTAATATATGCTCAAAAGGAATTAGTAAAGTGATTCCGTCCATGTCAGCAGTTAGGAACAAAACTCTGGATCTGTGATTGTTATCTGTTACATTGATTTCATTCGACATCAGTAGTTAGTCATGTCTTTATGCTACAGGTTAAAATGTGTGTGGCTTTTTTCTTTTTCCTTTCAGTTTCACGAGGCTGACATCATGGTCTTAGGCTCACCTAAGCCAGAAGAGATTCCCCTTACTTGGATACAACCAGGAACTACTGTTCTCAATTGCTCCCATGAGTTCCTGTCAGGTAAATGTCTAACATGGGTGGGGGGGCCTGCTGATTGAGATAGGTACAATTGTTATGAGAAACGCTAGCCTTACTCACCCAGAAGAGGGTATGTTCCTGGATTGTTGGTTGTCAACATTAGTATATAGGTTAGGAAACTTAGAATGTTACTGTACTTACCCATTGGGGACCTTGTCCTCCTCCCACATTGAAATGTCCCCCTGCTGGCCTCCAGCCTCAGGCAGTCAAGTCCATTGTGACCTCAGATAGATGATGTGTACATGTGTGAGGTAAACTAGAAATAGTGGTTTTCACAGTCTTTTACAAAACAGTGGAATTCTTTCTTCTAAACAAACTTAGCTGAATCTCAATATGTAAAACATGAAAGCTGAGTTGCTGGGGAGTGAGGGCAGGAAGGGAGACCAGCCTTTGTGCCTCCCTGATGTTCCCTGCAGCACTCGACGGAGCCCTGAAGTCACCTCAGAATGGTGTGAACATCACCATTAGAAATAAACGACTTTAGGGCCGGCCCGGTGGCGCACTGCTACAGTGCACCGCTTGGGAGCGCGGCAGCGCTCCCGCCGAGGGTTCGGATCCCACACACAGACCGGTTCCCGCTCACTGGCTGAGTGAGGTGCGGGCGCAGCACCGAGGGTTGCGATCCCATTGCCGGTCCCAGTCCGGTACGGGGGCAACACTGAGGGTTGCGATCCGTTGCCGGACACGAAAAAAGACAAAAAAAGGAAAAAAAAAAAAAAGAAATAAACGACTTTAGAATTAGTGCCGCTATTTGATGTTATTTCACCAAGGGATCCAGGAGTGTCCTGGAACACACTGGGCGCACCTTCAGGATCGCTCAATCTGTGCCCACAAGCGGGCAGCCAGCCAAGAGGAGGAGCTGGCCCAGAGCGGGCACCTTTCCTTGATTCACAGAAGGACACTCTGAGGCTAAGGAAGCCTTGGGCCACCTCAGCAAGTCCCTGAGTAACGTAGGTGGGCAGGAGACAATGGCAAAGGGAGGCAGAGGAACCTCCTTCCTTGTTGCTTTTGGCTTCAGCCTCCAAATTTCAATATGGAGAAGAGGGCTTTCCTGAGCTGTCTGGAGGACAGGGCAGCCTCTTTGTCTCCAAAGCTGGGAAGGTGGAGGCCTCTTCTCTCTGTCACCTTTTCAGTACCAAACTCATGTGTGACATCTTGAAACCTTCTAGGCAGCTCCACAGAAAGGTGAGCCATGCCTAGAGGTCAACGCTGAGCCTCCCCTCTAAGAAATGTACGTCCTTCCAGAATTGGCTGATCCAATTAAAAAACCCCTGGGAGCGAAGGGGGTGGTGTGGATTAGAGACTAGGCAAGGAAGAATGCCCAGGGGCCCAGGTCACTTACACATTCAGCTCTCGCAGTGAGAGCACGCGGATGAATGAAGCAGTTAGAGATGCAATATAATATGAACATGGGGTTAATGTCTCTTTTCAACAAGTAGAAGGCATGCACTAAATAAAACTTTAAAACATATGTAGTTTCTGCATATCACTGGTTTTTTCACCTGAAAAATCAGTGCCTAACCCATAGTGATGGATGTGGCAGATTTGCTCCTCTGCTCAGAATCCCAGTTAGATTAGGAAAATTGGTCATGGCATTCTTTTTTTTTTTTTTTGAATGAACACTTCTTTGCTATGATATTTACTTGCTATTTTATATTAAAATTTATATTTAGAACAGTTTGGCTCAATCCTGGCTGGAGATAGGAGAATCTGCTTTTATGTTCTTTTTGGAATCCCTTTGAACCTTGTGATTATATGAAAATGACATTTTAGAAGTGAAATTGTGCTTTATTTTCAATAAGGCTTCTTTTTAAGACCCTTGTTTTTGAAAGAGACATTGCTAAAAACATCAATCAGATTTCGATGTAACAATTCTTTTCAGTGAAAAAAAAAAAGACCAAGACATTATATTTTTATTTAATGATTTTGTAAGTAGACTGATTGCAGTTCATTTATTTTAAATTTATGTGGTCCAGATGTAATAGTTTTCTTGTTAATTTTTGGATGCCCAGTGCCCAGAATAGTGCCTGACACATAGTAAACATTCAGGAAATATTGAGTGTTCAGTGAGTGAATGAACATGGACTCAGAATTGTACCCTGATTGTAGTTTTAAATTAATTGCACGTGTAGAGATGTTTCCTAAACATCTCCCACTCAAAAACAGGACTGACAAGGCAGCTATTGAGAAAAAGATGAAAAACAGTATGCTGAATATATGGATGAACATTTTCTGGGTGGTGCTGTTATAACAGCATTACATTTCTAAACAGTCAATGCTGTGGATTGAATGCCACCGCCCCCACCAAACTCATTGAAGCTTAAATTGTGTCCCGCAAAGTTCCAGGTATTGGAAACTTGGCCCCCACTGTGACTATCGGGAGGGTGGGAAATCATATTATGGTAGTTGAAAGGTGGGCCTTGAAGAGGTGATTAGATTGTAGGACCGTGCAGTAGTGAATGGATTAAAAATGGTGGTCAGGGGCGTCGTTCTGAGGGCTTTAAAAGGAGAGCATGTGAGGGTCTCTCTCTCTGCTATGCCATTCTCACCATGTGACCCCAACATTGCTGTAAAGCTGTCACCAAAAAGACCCTCACAGGACTTCTCAGCCTCTAAAACTGTAAGCAGTAAATTTCACTTTCTTATAAATTTCCCATTTCCAGATATTTTCTCGTAAGTGATAGAAATGGGCTAATACAGTCAAAGTTTTAATTTTAGCAACTTTGATTAGTATGAAAGTATAATCTATGATTAATTGGAGAAAGAGTTTCCCCCCCTTTTCTTCATAATCTTGCCACTGTAAGCAAACGAACGGACTTTTTGAAACATTATTAAAAAGAAAAGTGATTTTATTTAAACTTAAGACCAGAAAAAGAATTTTTAATAATCTTGTGGCTAGGTGAAGGTAGGGTTTTATATGAAGCTTTCATTCTCACTTTAATGGTACAGGGTCTCTCCCCTTCTCCACTCCCCCACTCCCCATTAAAATAGATGGGGCATGGTGATTTATGATGAGGTAATTCTGCAGAGGCAGTCTACTGAATACGTAAACCTAGGAGAGATTTCCCTGATGGCTGATAGCCCAGAAGCAGTGCTCAGAAAACAATCATACCTAACTTGGATCTGTTCATTCTACTATTGCATGAGTCTGATGTTTAGATTAAAACAGAAAAAAATTTAATGTTCTGTTTTCTAGTGATAAAAGTTACAACATTTTTCATTATTAAAAAAAATTACTTCAAATGAAAAAAAAATGTTCTAGGATCTTGTAATGCCCTACATGCTAAAGCACAGAATTCACCTTAAGCAAAGCCATTCCGTACCCCCATGTTAGGACTTATTTATTGATGTACCGAATGGGACAAAGGAGAAACTGGCCTTATGTCTTGTGACCAGAGAACAAAACAGCAACTTTGTGGTTCAAAGTGGTTTACAGCATCGTTTTAAGCTAACATAATTCTGTTTAGTATGGAGGGGGGGAAGAACCCCAGACTGCATCCCAGGGCTCATGCTAATGAGCCAGAGGTTCCTGAGGGACCTTGGGCCTTCCCTCTTATGGCTGTGAAGGGAGACAGCATAATGTATGGAAAGAACATGAATTTTGAAGTTAGGACTAACTGGATCCAAACAGAAAAGAGTTGGTTTTGTTTTTTTTTTAACTCTTAATTACATTTGCACTTAAAGGCTGTGTGATTTTGAACAAATAACTTAAGCTCTCTGATGCTCAGTTGCCTTGTGTGTAAATGGGAGCAAGGCCGTTGGGAGGCATGAATGATGACAGCTCAGGTGCAGTGCCTCCTTCATAGCAGCAGCCAGGGACTGTTGCTGCACTTCCTCTCTCCGCTTCACTGTTGCCTAACGCGGTCACGATCACGCACACAAAGTAACTTTCAGTAAGTTTATACTGGAAAAATCAAGCCCAAGGAAGGAAATCTAATGAAGTTCTCAAAACGTAAGAAGGCAGCGTTAGAGAAACTGGACAAGCATGTAATGTAATCATTATGCTAATGCATTTGGAATAAAATAAGGATATTTGCTTATGACTATTAAACTTCAATTATTCTAAAATACATTGTATCTATTGCCTATTTTTCTTTTTTCTTTTTCCCAGAAATTTTGGATGTTTTGGGTCCATCCCTGAGATGTATTACCAGTTTTCCATTTCAAATTTTAATGAGTTCTGAATACATTTAATTTTTAACTTTTTAAAAAGCTTCAAGTCATTTAGAATATGAAGCCCTGTATTAATTCCTCCTTAATTTGGTTTCAGTGATTCAAAAGGACTGCTTACATAAGTTGATACTAATACTTTATATTCCTTTCTTCATTTCTTACATTGCCTTCTTTTAAAAAATAGCAAAATACTGTCATTTGACAGTGGGATACAAATGATTTAATCTAGGAGTACAACTCCTGAGAGCTCTGTTACAAAATGATACTAAATGATTTATACTAATTTCACATATTGCATTTTACCTTTTATACTACAAAGTCATTGTATTTAACTTAAAAATTAACCAGTGCTTTTTTTTTTTTTTTTTTTTTTTTTTAAGTTTTTTCTGTCCTAATTTCTAATTTTTAGCTCTTCCTGATTTCAAAACCTCACGTAAATTTTTGGAGTAACTTGTTCTCCTAGAAGGAAAAAAAAAGTATTTGAGAGTCTGGGCTACGGGTTCATCATGCCTTTTGCAATAAGACGGTACCTTCTGCCAGACTGTGTAAAAGCTGAGAGGTTTCCATATAGTGGAGATGGCAAGAAGACTGAAGGATTTGCCTTGCTTTCTTCCATTTCACTGATTGTTCTGGCAAAATTCCCAGGGTGGTCTCAAAACAGCTCATGTCAGAGAAGGGGCTATTCTGATTTCTAGGGAAAGCATGATAACACCTTAGCCTTAAATTTTCTCACTGCAGAAAGTTTGGTTATTATAAGAAAAATTATAAATGAAATGCTGTCATTTAAAGTGATTTATTGACTTGTTCCTAGAGGAACCATGGGTTAAATGAGAGTGTTTAGTGGGAAGTGAGAAGACCCATCTGTGGTTTGGGACCCCTGTTGGACTCTGATCCCCAGAAGTCTCCCAAGCCCAGACTGTCGACAACCTCCAGGTGGTGTCCTGCCTTTACACAAGCAGGGGGTGAAATAATGATTCCTTTTCTCAACTCTCTTTAGCCATGAAATTTATCAGGAATGTATTCCTGATTCTTTGAGTTACCAGTCTTCATTGCTTCAAATTCTCTGGATTCAGAATTTTTAATTCAGTTTTAAGATTGCATTGATTCCTACTACTAAAGCAATGCAAAGTTTATGGTAGAAAATAACATGAAATACAGTAGTGTACAGAAGAAAATAAAAACTTCTTATCTCATCACCTCGAGATAACCATTTTACATTTTTCCATAAAAAACATTAAATGTAATTTTATTTGAATGTAATAGAAGGAAGATAAAAGAATATGATACCAAAAGCATAATTGAAATCCAGATAAATATTTCCTCAAAAACAGAAATACTGGGTCCTACAAGATTCTTCTGAAGTTTAGAAAATATATATATGTGTGTGGGTTTTGTGTTGTGTTTTAAAATCTTAGTTGTTGTTTTTAAATAATGTGTGTTTTAATGGGCCAAAAATAAACTTTGTAGGTAGTAAAGCTTACTCTACTATGTGTGGTCAGAAGGTAACTCTGCGTAAACAAAGGCAGCCGGCCCAGCTACTGAAGTCCATCCTTCATTGTTCCCAGCATTGCCACTTTATCCACGCCTGCTGATTTTTTGGCGGCTGGCTGGTAAGGGGATCTGAACCCTTGACTTTGGTATTATCAATACCCATGCTCTGACCACCTGAGCTAACCGGCCAGCCAGCACCACACCTGCTTTTGTTATTTGTTGAGTCTGAGTTTTGGACTTATCTGGAATCGCTAAGGAAGAAAAAATTTTCCCTTGTCATAGGCTTCTGTTAGTATTTGGGGTTATATTATAACCTCTGCTCTGGTTTCTCATCAGTCTGATCCTGTTTGATACTCTCTTCCACAAATCTCTCATGATTTCTAGTCCATTTATGGTGCCCTTTTTACCATGATGGATTTATTTCCTCATATCTTCCAGTCACTTCAAATAGAATTTTGGCTGGAAAAAGAGAGTAGTGTTGTGTGTGCCACCTGCCACCTTGAGCCAGAAAGCTTAAAAGAGTTTTGTTTTGTTAATCATGCCTACTCACGTGGCTCATCATGCTTGTTAAAATTATTTGCGTCATGGTTTAGACATATCAGGAATCATAGTTTTTGAAAATAGCTTATTCTCATTTTTGCTAAGTTCTATATTATGCAAGTAACTAAAATTATAGGAGGAATTATTTACTGTGTAACTATGTAGGTGAAATATTCTTAACTCACAAGGGTATTTGTGGTTATATTCTGAGAACATGCATTTAAAAATTGATACCAGCTCCTGGAATGTAGCTTTTTCTGATTTCTTCATCACTTAAAGATGGAAGAATGAGAAAAGCATATTTCTCTTCCATAGTAGTTGGATAAGATCTTAAGATCAGATCTCTAGTGGTTAAGAGAAAACAAAACAAATCTTTCTCATCCTCTAGAATCTTGGCTTTTGCCTAAATATGATTTATAAAACTGAAGTGTTGCTAATCTTTAAACAATGCCTGAGGGATATGATTTTCCAGCACCCTTAATACATTTGACAATAGAACATCACAAAACACATATTCTTGAGTATTTTGTGCTCTTTCTTGCTAAGGACTGTCAGCAAAGTGGGTAATTTAAGAGTAGAATGGTCCAAAAAAGAAGAAAATAGTTTCTTAATTCAAAAAAGTTGCTATTAGAAATATTTCTTTTCTCTAAGGGAGGATGTAAGCTAAAGCATTTTGCATGTGTTTACTTTTTGTAAATCTTATTAGTACTAACTAAAGAAGGGAAAAGTAGAATTCTTATCCATCTCTTTCTGTTTTGAAACCCAGGCAATCCCAAATGTTACTATCCTAAAATGTAATTTCTTGGTTTTGATGGAAAATTCATATCACTTCTATGATAGGGAATTTTTTAGTTATCAAAGAAAGCCTGATCTTTCACCTAACACTTTGCTGGTATTTTCACCCTCCTTTTGTTTTGTGTTCACAAGCAAAATTGCTTTTATTTTCTGTGTATTATTCAGTAGAGATTATAAATCCTTCTAATAAGGGCCGGCCCGATGGCGCACTGGATAAGTGCGCCGCTTGGGAAGCGCGGCGGCGCTCCCGCCTGAGGGTTCGGATCCCACGTACAGACCGGCTCCCGCTCACTGGCTGAGTGAGGCGCGGGAGCAACGCCTAGGGAGCGAGGTGCGGGAGCAACGCCGAGGGTTGCGATCCCATTGCCGGTCCCGGTCCAGTGTGGGGGCAACACTGAGGGTTGCGATCCGTTGCCAGACACGGAAAAAGACAAAAGACGAAAAAAAAAAATCCTTCTAATAAGATGAAGCCCTATGTGTCAAAAAACCAAAACGTTACAATACAAAGTAATTCTGACAGATCGTGCTGTGGAACACACATCCCTATTCCTTTCTTCCAAGCAGTATTTTTGCTCTCATAGTTTAAACATAGATACTGTATGCCAAGCACTTTACATACCATATCACATTTCATTTCCACAAAATATTGTGAGGCTGATATTACCCACATTAACTAAAGGGCCCAAAGTCACAATTGCTAGTAAGAGGTGGAGGCCTGATTTTAATCCATACCTGACTCTGAAGTCTGTGTTCTGATCTGCAGGCTGTATTGCCTCCACATTAGGTGTTGTAGTATCCACTTGTCTTGAGCTGCTATTTCTATCACTAATTGTGCCATATTTTTAAAATCACAATATGATTTTGAGGTTGTTTGAAAAAATTGTGTGCCTAGATATTTCTCTCTGGTTCAGTATAAGATATGATTTCCCAAAGCATAGTGTGCTTTATTAAATTGTACCTCCATTTATCCCAGATTAATATCTAAGATGGACACTTCTCTAATGTAAAATACAAAACAGGCCCAATCGGGAGTCCCAAGGCTGTGCCAGAGGTGACCAGCCCTCTGCTGTGCACTGACATCCTAACTTCCTCGGCTGAAAAATGAGACCATTATTCAGCATGTTGGCTTTTACAAGGAGCAGTTGATTATAAATGACAATATGCTGAAAGCCTTTTTTTTTTTTTTTTTTTTCTTTTTTCCCCTCAAATTTTCTGCAGGGAAGGTTGGATGTGATTCCCCTGGGGCACATTTTAGTGGACCCACTGAGGAAGATGTGAGTGTCCTTGCTGCAGCTCTGCGGATTCAGGTTTGTTTGACGCAGATGTTTGAGAACTTTGAGTTTGGAGGTTTGGTTAATAATTGCAAACGTTTTACAAGTGTTTTCTGTTTACTGGATACAGGGTGAAACACTTTAAATGGGCCTGACACTGTGTGTGTAGTTATCTATTGCTCTGTAATAAATAACCCCATTCAGGGAAATAATTTATTTAGCAACTTAAAACAACAAACATTTATTGTCTCAAAAGTTTCTTTGGGTCAGAGGTTTGGGAGCAGGTTAGCTGGGTGGTTCTGGCACGGGATCTCTCATGCAGTTGAAATCAAGATGTCGCCCAGGGCTGCAGTCATCTGTAGACTTGACTGGTGTGGAGGATCTGCTTTCAAGATGGTGGACTCGTGGATAATGGCATCTGACACTTATTTTCTCATTGGTTTTTGGCAGGATGCTTTAGTTCCTCATTATGTGGAGTTCTCCATAGGACCACTAATTGATTCCAGAATGAGCAATCCAAGGGAGAGAGCAAGGGGGAAGCCACAGTATGTTTTATGACCTAGTCTCCAAAGTCACACACTGCCACTTCCTTTTCTACTGTTAGTTAGAAGGCAGTCACTAAGTCTAGTTCACATTCAAGGGAAAGAGAATTGCACTCACCTCTTAAAGACAGGAGTGATAAAGAATTTATAGACATCTTCAAACTGCCACCATCAATGTGACCTAAATCCCAGTGTCCCCGGCTCACCCTCTCTATAAGCTGAGCATTCCAGTGGTGCTGGAGCTTGCAGTGACATAAAGAATTTATAGACATCTTCAAACTGCCACCATCAATGTGACCTAAATCCCAGTGTCCCTGGCTCACCCTCTCTATAAGCTGAGCATTCCAGTGGTGCTGGAGCTTGCAGTGACAGTGATTGTTGGCAGTGGCATTAACTAGCAGCAGAGAAACCCAAACCTCTAGCTGCTGCCACAGCAGAATTAAACAAAAGGAAGTTTTAGTTCATTTCTTTTTTATGTACAAGGTAGTACACAATTAAAACTTTTTGCCTCAGGAAGTTTTAAAAATAACCAGTTGTTTATTTCTGTAAGGATTATGAGTTACATTTCAACTAAAGCCAAATTTTGTTTATTTTTATTTCATTTATCATTTATATGTATACGATATATATATATATGAATGTATATGTATATATGCATTATTTAATGATTCAATTTTCTTGGTCAAGGATGGTACTTGAAATGGTGTTGCAAATTTTGGAAGCTGTGTATCCAACCTGAGCATTCATGCATTCCTGTGTTTTTCTCATTTCTCTTTTCTAATTAAAATGAAGAACCCACTTATATTATACAGATAGTATAAATTTATCTGTCTACTTGAAGTTTCTTGTGAACATTAAGCTATTTTAATAGTGCATAGATCTCACATTTTTCTTTTTTAAGAAACACCTACAAACCTAATTACATGTGAATAAAATTATTCCTAAAATTCCCTTGGATTATTGTTCAACTTTGTAATCCTTTTGTTTCATAATATCTGCAAACAATATTTTCATAGTTAAGTGCATACCCAGACAGCTTTTACTTTTATAACATCTGTTTTCCTCTCTATCGCTGCTGAAGAACGTGGTCAGTAGTGGAAGAAGATGGCTTCGTGAACAGCAGCACAGGAGCTGGAGACTCCACTGCTTGAAACTTCAGCCTCTCTCCCCTGTGCCAAGGTAACACTGGTGATTTGTTTATACTGTTGTCAGCTCACCAAAGTGCCTGAGATATTCAAAGTTAGTCATTGGGCGGGGGCACGATTCATGGTGTTTCGGTTTTGATAGTAGATAATTTACTCAAGTTGGCACACTGTTTTCTCTATTGTAAATTCTCCAAAATTAAATCTTAATGAACGTGTTTACCATTTTCTATCAATTCTAAGAATGCATATTTTTTCATTTCATTTCAGTGATGTGTCCTATATTAAATGGCAGTATGTTTTCTTCTTAGTGGTGCATAAAACATGGTTTTAGTTTGGCAAAATACTGCAATGCCATATTTGGAATATGCTTTTCAGTGTTAGAAATGCCCAGCACATACTGTCTTGGTCTTAAGGGCCATGTAGGTTTCCTCTCTGGGGATAAATGACCAATCAAACCAGACATCATTCCACATGGGAACTGAGCTCAGCTTTCTTCAGAACTATCTAATAGGATACTCTACTAGTTGAGATGGATATTTTCTCAGGGTGGTGTTTAATGAGGTCTAAACTACATATTCTCTGTGAATAATTTTGGAAATACAAACGTGATTTGGAGTAATTAGATATGATATCTGAGCCAGAGACCTGCATTTTCCAGCCTCATGAAGAGTCTTCTTTGTCTGCCCTGCCCCAGTGAATTAGCCCCACCACCTTTATCTAGGTGTACATAACCCCAGGGCATCTCAGATTATCCCTTCCAACAACGTTGGAATGCATAGATTATCAAGTAAGTACAACCTCCAGTAACTGACTGATTTTTTACTTGATAATCAGTTGCTTTTTAGAATTGACCTCTGTTACTTTGGGCAGTCAGCTGTGTTCGATTATACCGGCCAGGCTGGTGAAACCCACCCTCCAGGCTATGTTTTCACCCCTGCAATAGACTAAACATCTTAGTCATTCTCTGTGTTCTTTAATACATAAATTCCAGTAAGGAATGTTGTTCTTTGTAACATCATCCCTGTCATTGTGCAATCTGTTTTGTAAACTATCTTATTTTCTGAAGTTGTTATAAGACCTTAGTTCTTAAAAGTAAATCAATAAATTGTACTTGGACAGCTAAGAAAAAAGTAAGACAGATTCCACCAAATTGTGTGCTCAAGTCTTTCAAAGTAAGTCCTACTTGGGGCAGCGGGGAGAGGAGGGGATTGCCTTAATTATTGTTTAACTAAATTTGATTTTCTGGCGGAGGGTATATTAGCCAACAGCCGTGCCTCAGGTAAGTGCTCCAGGGCAAGTCAGGATGGCTGTCCTCTCTGCTGTGACCCTTGAGAGCAATTCCTGGCACTTGCTGTCCTGTGCTCAACGCTCAGGGTCAGCCCTGATGCCGGGGGCTTACACGTGCCTTCCAGTTCTCCCTCTCCCACAGGTGGTTAGTAAAAAGATGGGTGGCCTGACCCCCGATGAAGAACTCACTAAGTGCATGAGCCCCAGAAGGCTGTCCCTGCAGAGTCCAACGTTACACATGCCTGTGGCTGAGCACTCCGTAAGAAGAGCAGCAGCGGTCTCATCTTGCTGCTGAAATAGAGTTAAGCTGTATGGCCAGCAACACTCCAGAGTTCCTGAAATTTCCTCAGTCTGAAGTTGAGCTTCAGGGACTGGGTCCTTTTACCAATAGTTATATAATTAATAAAGTATTTTGAAATATGATTTTGGACTGGAAATAGGAAAGAGAGAAGGAGAGTATGGACACAAATAAAACAAAAGAGCATTTCCACATTTTTGAATATACAAGATACACATGTGGCTAGCCCAACAGGAGAGCATTACACAATAAGCCTTCTTTTCATGGTTAATGACTACAGTGATAACCCACACAGAGCATTTTGTTGTATAATAGATTTCCATTTGCAGGAGACCCGTAGACATGTCATATACACTTCTCCTCTCCCTGTGGCACAGGTGTTAATTATCCTTGTGCCTGGACACAGTTCTAGGATCTTTGTGAGTATTTGGGAGTTGCATCTCCAAAAACGTGCAGCATTTTCTCATGCACATTAATTCTCAGCAGTTGTCCTTAATACTGCCTGGGAGAAAGGACCACAAAGCAATTGCATTGATTTAATTGTTGGCCTGGTGTCTGGCTGTTTCTCACTCTAGCAGCGACTGCCTAAGCTGAGGAGACCCGTGTTGTGCTTTCTTTCCCCCCAGTGATATTGAGATTTCAAGAGGACAGACTCCAAAAGCCGTGAATGTGCTTGCCAAGGAGATAGGATTGCTTGCAGATGAAATTGAAATCTACGGCAGAAACAAAGCCAAAGTGCGTTTGTCTGTGCTAGAAAGGTTAAAGAACCAAGCAGATGGAAAATACGTCTTAGTTGCCGGGTAAGACTGTTTAAAATCCACTTCACTAAGGAGACATGTTTAGAAGACTCTATTCCCTATCTTCCATTGTCTTTTTGTCTTCATACCCCTCAAGCCCACCCTATTCTCAAATTTGATGTTATTTTGCCCATTTCACTTGGCATTCCTTCATTTGGCATGAGGTTAGTTTTTATTTTCAGTGCAGAGCAAGTTAGTCACCTCCACAAAATATAAAGTGTAACAAGCTGCTAATCCAGTACTTTATTTTTTTGTTTCTCATACTGTGTTGTGATCACTCTTGCTTCCCCTTGGCTTTTTTAGTTTTTCACGAAAATCAAAATAAGAATTGAAAGTAAAATATTTTGACCTGAACAGGGTTTTCTTGTATATGTTTAATTGCAAATAATATTTTAATAACAAATGTATAGATAATTGTGTGAAACTTATATTTTCCTATTTATATCCTTGATATTTCTTATTTATATATCTTTGTATATAAAACACTCATTATTTTTTCTTTTCTTGCATTTCAAAACTGATGCGGGGCCATTTTTATTTGTTTTGGTCTTTTTTTTTTTTTTTTTTTTCCTTTT